GAACAGTTCTAGTGTCTGTAATGAATCCTCTTTCTGAGCTTGCAAAATCTGATGTTGCCAGCCATGCTCATCCTTCCATGTCACTGCAGCAGTTCTGGAGCACTTACCGGCATCTGTAAAGACTGTTATTGCGTCTGCAACTGGTTGGGGTGATCACTTTGGTCTACTTATCCAGCCCTGGTTTTTCATCCAGGACAAGACAGGAGATTGTAATGGTTTTGCTATTAACATGGCTCCATCATGCAATAGAGCAGTTTGCAGTTCCTCAGAATTTTGTATATACCATTCCAGATCACTTGACTTCATGGGTAACCATATGGTGTTAGGAGGGGCCCCGTCTACTTGCAAGGTTCTACTTCGTCCCTTTTTAATTAATTCTGCTCATGTGGTGATTTTTTCTTGAATTGTTCGTCGTGGCCGCAACGGAGGAGCTAGCCATTCTAGTACCACCGTATCTCCCTGCTTCTCCCCCATTTTTATTTTTTGCTGTGTTATCGCACCCATCAAATATTGGGGGCCACACAGAATAGTTAGATCAAGAGGCGCACCCTCTATACGCCGATGCGTAGCCCGTGTTGTAATCATTGAGGCTATTAGCTGTAGTGCTTGTTTTTGTTGGTCTGTAAGCTGAATTGGTGCTGCTGGATCTGTCCCTCGTAGCAAAGGTCGTAGTTGATTTAACAGCTCGTTGGGAATACCAACCACTGGTCGAATCCATTGCAAATCACCCATCAACTTCTGGGCGTCGTTAAGAGTCTTAAGGTCTGATTGTATTGTCAATTTCTGCGGTTGGATCGTAGCATCGGAGATATGCCATCCAAGATATTTCCATGGGCTTGTCTCCTGTACCTTCTCGGGGGCAACTACTAATCCTCTCTGTTTAAGTTGCTTCGTTAGTTCATCCTTTTGCTGTGAAGAAAATGGTGTTGACTGGGCCAATAGAATATCATCCATATAATGACAGATTATTGTTCCTGACCATTTTCATCGCAACGGCTGTAGAGCATCGTCGACACAGAATTGACATAGAGTTGGCGAATTTCGCATTCCCTGCGGCAGGACCGTCCACTCAAATCTCTGGTCTGGCCCTTCTCGGTTTATTGCAGGAAGTGTAAAAGCGAATCTTTGTTTATCATTTTCATGGAGAGCAATTGTGAAGAAACAGTCCTTTAAGTCCACTATGAGTAAATGCCATCCTTCAGGTATCATCGCAGGATTAGGCAACCCTGGCTGCACTGCTCCCATATCGTACATCTGCTTATTTACCGCACACAGATCGTGGAGCAGCCGATACTTACCCGACTTCTTTTTAATCACAAAGATAGGTGTATTCCACGGGCTCGTTGACAACCTTAAGTGCCCCTGTTGAAACTGTTCTTTAACCAGCTCATGCGCTTGTATCAGACTTTCCCGTTTTAACGGCCATTGCTCGACCCACACAGGATCATCATTCTTCCACCGGAGCGGGATCGGGAAAGTCCAAACAATGGCCATATCTATAAAGGGCGTTCCCTATAAAGGGCGTTCCCAGGTAAGGACCATTCCCATTTGAGCAAGGATGTCCCGCCCTATTAGTGCGTGCACCCCGTCAGGCAACGGACTAACAGAGACACAACATTTCACCACTTTGTCCCCTATTGTCCACCGCAGGGGTGGTGACTGACGGCAAGTGTCATTCCTCCGACCCCGGCCACCGTGGCATTGGTTTCAGATGTTGGCCAATGCTGCGGCCAGTTGTGTGTGCTGATTATAGATACATCGGCTCCCTCTTGTGGCTGGTCGGAGAGGAACGGGTTCCCCCTCGGTGTTGCTGTGCATGCGGCCGCGTTTTGTGTCGTCGCGGGGCGACTCTTCCCGCTGTTCCAGCCGTTTCCCGACACGTTGCATCGACATGCCGCTTCACTGTGATTGCCCGACTGACAATCTGAGCACCATACTGCCCCAGCTTTGCAGTTTCGTCTCACGTGTCCAAAAACACCACCAGGATAACATCGCAAGCGGTGTGGTATTTGGCCACCAGGGGGTGGTGCTTGACCACCAGAGCGTGACCCGGCGGTTTGCAAAGGAGCAAGAGCTGCAAGGACTTGACTCTGTGTAAACTCAGCATGCTCTTTCATAGCCTGTGCCTGCTCTCGCATGCTGTCACCTAATTGCTTTACTGCCTCTACTAACATAGCCTGTGGGCCTACTGGTACCTGAGCCATTCTTTCCAACCCTTCCTCGATTGTCCATGTCCCGGGTAAGGAAGCCAATATATTGCGAGTAGAAGGGTTGCTATTCTGAATTGCGCACTGTTTTAATATCGTGCCCTGGAGGTAATCAGGCACCCCAGCCGCCTGTATGGCGTTTGCTATGCGGTCAATAAAAAGCCCAAATGGATTCTCTCTACCCTGTTTGATTCCCATGTAGGAAGGTATTCCCCCTGGCCCCTTTATCCGATCCAATGCTCTTCTGGCCGTTCTCATCGATTCCTTCGCTTTATCAGGTCCCAGCAATGCTTGTGCTTCTGTCCTAAAATACGGTCCTACCCCCATCAACTCTTCCAGCGTGACCCCATGTAAAGGGTCCCCAGGTGCTCTTACCACTGTGACTGCTTCTTGACAAGCAGCCTGCCAATGGGCATTAAATAAGAGCTGCTGGTGTTGGGTCAAAATTAACTTCATTATGCTACATATGTCTCCTGGAAGCAAAATATTAGTTCCCCAAATATAGTCCAACATCTGTCTCGTAGGTTCACCTTTCAGACCTGACTCATTTACTGTGGACCGCAGCTGAGTTAACAATTTCCAGTCCAAATTCACGAGATTAACCGTAACATTACCCTGGGCGTCCGGTGGTGAATATACTACCGGGAAGGCCTCTTGAACCAATTGTGCAGCTATCCCGTGTTCACCTTCGCATACAGCCTCATCTGCTATTTGCTTCCACACCCTCTGCCTCTCCTGAACACCTTCTATAAACGGGCTTGTGTTTTTTCTGTCTGGTTTTTGCTCTCTTATTTCCTCATCCATTTCCCCACTTTTGTGAGAAGGAGCCGGTGGTGCTGCTGGTGATGGCGGGAGCACCAACACCGACTCTGAGAAGGATGATGAGAGAGGAGGAGGCTCCCATTGCCCCCTGAGGCAGCGTTATCGTCCTCACTGAAGGCGGCAATGGGTAATCCCCAGCTCCCCCCATCCCTCCCTGTTGAGGGTTAACACTACCAGCACTTCCTGGCAATCCCAGTCGCTCTGTAGCAGCAGCAGCGACTCTCTGCTCAGCCTGATGTATAGCTAAGGCATTAGTGACTGCTCTCCAAGGCTTCAGTAATTTTTTAGCAGTCTTATTTTCATTAATAACTTCATCAAACAATTTGTCCCCAAATTTACTCCACTCTGTTTGTTCAAAAACTGTATCCGGATTGATAAAACAACCCTTTGTTACTCCATATGCTAATAATCCTGGTAAATCCTTTTTGCAGCCTATACCCTGCGTGCTCCGTTTTTCTAAAAAGCAATTGAGCAAATCATACGCCGCTTGTCTCTCCATACCTTTATTTATGCTGTTGCAGCCTTTGCGAGACCTCGTTCCCGCGTCCCTGCGCGGTTCCGTTTCCCGCGTTTCCCCGCAGATCTCTTCCCACGCTCCCCACGGTTTCTTTTCCCCGTGTCTCACCATGAGTCCTTTGTCCGGGTCGGTGCTTGGAGTTTCTCAATGCTTCTCAGGTGTTCCGGCTTCTGTCAGGTCTGTGTCTCTCAGAGCCATCCGTGGCTCTGCAGCGTCTCTCAGGGCTCTCTCCGTCCGGCAGGAGTCCCTCCGTGTGCCTCGGGTCTCCCGGCGCCGCTCCGATGTGTCGGTCCCACGCCGCTCTGATGTCCCGGCGCCGCTGCTCTCCCGCTCCGCTGCGATGCCCTGTTCAGGTCTCAGCCTGTTCGGGCGCCATTTGTTAGGAAGCACGGCCGAAAGCACGGCAGACACCGGTTGAGTCAGATCATGCTGCTCCATTTTATTACCCGAATAGCCTAACTTTTATAGTGAACTTAACAGGGGCAGACGGTGTTTCACACAAGATTATTGGTCAAAAGCACTCAGACAAACAACTAGAAGAAAACAACGCCACCTCAGATACTGGTTTGTACAGCCTGGGAGGAAGATAGTCTCTCCTCACTGGTGGACCTATTCCAAATCTTTCTCCACAGCAGAGACGCAGGCCTGTAGGGAAGAGGAGAGGCTTTCTTCACACTGCTTTTGACTTACATGTTGTGAAAGCGGCATTTCTTTTAGGAACAGCACAGTCTTGCGACTTCCACTGAGTGAAAGTTGTCATAACTCCACCAGTACCTTCCCCATCGGTTTCTACTCACTGCAAGGCATAATTTGAGTGCACATTAAGGCACCTTTTTCCACACTGCCCGTTGTTGAATCCTAACAAATAGTTAAGAACATTCTTCAAAGTCAGGCTTACCTGTAAGCACTTGAGCTTCTGAGTTGGTGGGGCTTTCTTTTTAGCTTTCATTCTCATTAGATTTGGAAGGGCTGGAAAGGGAGCTTAGAAGCCACGGAAGTAATTTCACTGAAAACAGACAAGGTGAAGGAAGTACTCAAACTCCTCGACATTAAAGAACCGTAGAACCCAGGAACACTTACCTGCCAGCTCCTGAACTTGAGTCACTTCCACACTGCTTCACAGTGACTTCGCACCACCAGGCTCTCACCGTACTGAGAGGGCACCAACAACATAGTTAGCTCATAGAGTCACTGTTTCACAGAGATGGGAGAAAAGGTGAAGAAAAAGCAGCCCACCGGGGAACACTGAATCCGCTCCACCACAACAGCAGAAAAGCACCCTAGAGAACCTGAGCCTCAAACTCCCCCACCAGGAAGGCAATTCCCCACAAGTCCTCAGGCTTCCTATATAGCAAAAGTCAAATGATCCACACCTGGCAGGTTTCACTTCACAAGGGTGGAGCCAAGAGACCTCCTGGAATAGGCTCATCTACCTGGCTTCAGGTCTTGTAAGCTTAATTGCTCCTTGTCACTACTAGAAATAACCTGACAAGGGGCTTAGTGGTTAGAGCTGACCTAATGAATTAACTACAAAAAGTGCACAAGGGTCATATTTCTGTTAGTCATTCTGTGAGGACAAGTAGTACAGAGCCTGTTTAAATAAATAAATAAACAAACAAACAGACAAACAAACGAAAGAAAAGACATCAAAGAAAAAAGAAAATGACCTTAAAGGCAAAATTGCTCTCATAGTTTTTCATCTGTCTAGTCATGACACATAAAGAATATAGCCATCAGAGTTACTTTTCTTGGCATTAATGGTATTTAAATTTGCTTTTCTGAGATGTCTTCTTGATGCAGGACTTTCCAAAATCTAGCCCCGTGACCTCTGACTACACTGTTTACTTCCACTGCGTATAAGCTGTCAGGTATGAATGCCAGGATCCGGATCGTCACTCACTATTCAGGTCAAGGACTGGGCCAAAGGTTTGGGTTTTGATTTGGGTACATGCCTACCTTGCTGTTTCCTGGCAGGTCATGGGAAGAAGATTGGCTGGCTTGGGGGAGCTCCTGTACACGTGGCTTTTAGGCTGCAGCCAAAGTGTTCCTCTAGATCTGGAAGTCTGAAGAGGGTTGCAGCCTCCAAGCTCAGATACAACCACGTTAGTCTGGCGCAACTGATTTTTGTGTTCCTTGCACTGGCTGTGCAAGGAACCTCCTCTCCAGAGGTAAGGACATGCGTCTCTTCCGTGCTCCTTCATTAGTGTCGCATTAAGGGGTGTAGCTGATTAACCGTTATGGGACCGGTCGGATTCAGGGTACCGAACCTGTCGGACACACCAATAACACGTCAACCGTCTGGGGTCCGGTCGGATATTCACCAGTAACGTGTTAACCGTCTGGGGTCTGCTTGGATTCAGAACACTGAACTATCACGGTCACAGATTCACCAATAACATGTAACCACCCTTACCCTAGTTGCACTTAATGAGAGCTATGACAATGCAATCAAGTGTGATTTATTACAGCAAGAGATAACCAGGTTCTTTGGATTGCCGGCAATAGTGCCTGTCTGCAAAAGCAAGCTAGCATGCATGAAATACACAGGTGTTACAGGTGCACAGCCTAGAAATTAATGCGTTAAACGGATCAAAGATTCTAGAAAGATTTATAACTGTTATATATGGAGTGGAAATTCGTGTCGAGAAAATGGTTGATATTAATAAAGAGGGGGAAATTTGGAACGTGGCCATGGGCGTTGGAAAGCCCCGTGGTTGAGATAACATTAGACTCTTAACGACGAGGCCATCAGGAATATAAAAGTGTTTAGAGGGAACAAAGAAGGGTGATTCAGGAGACTCCATGCAGTCTCCGGTTTCTTGTTCTCCAGTTAAGGCATGGATGTTTCTGGGTGTTTGCTGTTGTCGTTACATTCAAAGTTGTTTGAGCAATGAAAAGTTGTTTTGAAAAGAACTGCCGTGGAGAGAAGGGTATAAGAGGGGAGCCTGCCCTCAAGACAAAAAAAAAAAAAAGGGAGCACGATGAAGTTACATCAATAAAGAAGCAGGAACAAGAAGTGAAGAGGAACAGGCTGGCAGAATGGAGACCAGGACGGGAACAGGCACTTTGATTGCCTCATGAAGATAGGTTTGGCCAAACTCAAACTGCTCAGAGAAGCTCGTACAGAAACTCGCTGGAAATAGGCGCACTGGAGCTGGAGAGAAGCTCGAGCTGAGAGAAGCGGACCTGTGCACACAACTGCCCCTCGCTGGTAAGCAGTTGCGCGTTATGAGGAATCATACGTCCTTAGGAACAAAGATTGTCCTGGTAACCTTACAGCTTATTCTCCTTATTAACAATTGGACAGTTTATGAGCCTCAAATATGGGACCAAACTGAGGTCAAGGTGTGCAACTCTGCAACTAAAAATGACAAGGTTGCAGTGGGATTGCTCGGCACCTGGTGAGCAGCCTCTGAGGCCTTAAAGAGCCCTGTGGTGCCACAATCACAAAGGTGTGGTTTGCCAGACAGTGAGGGAGCTGCGGGCTCCTTTACTGATCCGACTGCTACGCCATGGGCCCCTCTGCTGTTACAGCCATCGAAGGCTTTTGCTGTTGCGCTCCCTGCTGACCTGGACATGCCTTTTGACCCAGGTCTATTGGCCTTCGCAAGGAGATGGATATGCTTTTCTTCGATCTGGGAAGAACGGGATACATAAGGCCTTAAGACCGAGTTGCTTGACAACTTAAAGCGAGACACATCGCTCAAAAGGAATGGAAAATGGAGACTGTTAAGTCATGGAACTTAAAGGATTGTTTGTTACCTCTTCTGATCATGCATATGTATAGGCGTACTCGATTTTTATTAAGTTATGGAACTTAGAGGATTGTTTGCTACCTTTCCTGATTGTACGTATGTAGAGGCATACTTGCGTTTAGTATGTAAAGCAATGCTCTGTACATTTAGGATGTTTGATGTTTGTGTGCGAGTGTTGGTGGAGCGTAGACTCCCCGCACACCCAGCGCTGTTTACTTGCCTTTTATAGCTTTTCTACCTTTTAGAAATGTTTGTTTTATAAATATTACAAAATTCAGATCGAGTTGAGACCTCATTTATGACAATAACCAAGTGTTCAAATCTCACCCAAAGGCATCCCAATGGGGGGGGGGGAGAAAAAGTCTGAGCCCATCGACTGGTCCCAGGAGTCAGGAGGTCCGAAGGATGTTGTATTCCCTTGGTGTGGTACCTCCCCTGATGGTGGTATCTTCCCTAACATCCCCTCTCTCTTAGGCCAATTTATATTATTTTCTCTCTTTTGGGTGGAGCTTGAGTGGCTCTAGCCAAGCATATCTTAGTTATGATTGGTGAAAAGTTCTCCCGTCTCCGTTTAAAGTAATAGACTCCGAGAAATTCAGAGCGCATGCTCGGTGAGGGGTGGTTGCTACTAAACAAAGCAGGATAGATTAAAGCCTCCTTCTTCAAGTCAGTAAGATACTGGGCTACAAAGATGGCGAAGGGCCTAGAGGGGAAGTCGTATGAGGAGCGGCTGAGGTCACTGGGCCTGTTCAGCCTGGAAAAGAGGCGGCTGACGGGAGGCCTCGTCACAGTCTACAGCTTCCTCACGAGGGGGAGTGGAGGGGCAGGTACCGCTCTATTCTCTCCAGACACCAATGATAGGACCCACAGTGAATGGTGTCAGCCTGAGGAAGGGGACGTTTAGGCTAGACAACAGGAAGAGGTTCTTCACGGAGAGGGTGGTCGCACACTGGAACGCGCCCCCAGCGACTATGCACCCCCCGCAACTCTGCGCCCCCCGCTTCACACAGCCCGTTTTTCAATCTTCCAAATACTTAAGAACCTCCTTCAATTTCAGGCTGACCTGTGTGCACTTGGACTTCTGAGGCCTTTTTTTTCCTCCAGTGCTTGGAAGGGAGCTTAGAAGCCACCTAAGTAATTTCACAGGAAACAGACAAGGTGAAGGAAGTACTCAAACTCCTCAACAGTAACAACCACAGAACCCAGGAACTCTTACCTGCTGTCTCCTGAACTCGAGTCACTTCCAACGTGCTTCGCAGTGAAATAGTCCCACCAGGGTTCTTCTGAAGAAGGCACCACCAATGTAACTGGCTCATAGAGTCTCTAAAACTATTTCACAGAGAGGGCAGAAAACTTGAAGGAAAAGCAGCCTAGTAGGGAACACTGAGCCCGATTCACCACGAGAGAAAAACACCCTAGGCTACCCAAGCCTCAGTTTCTCCTGGGGAGGCAATTCCCCCACCCGTCCTCAGGCTTCCTATATAACAAAGGTCAAATGACCCACACCTGGCAGGTTGCACTTAACAAGGGTGAAGCCAAGAGACCTTGTGGAATAAGCTCATCTACCTGGCTTCAAAGTTTTAAGGTCTATTGCTCCTTATCACTTGTAGAAATAACCTGACAAGGGGCTTAGTGGTTACAGTTGACCTAATGAATTAACTACAAAAGGTGCACAAGGGTCATATTTCTGTTATGTGAGCAAAATTAGTACAGAGCCTGTTAAAAAAATAAATACAAATAAATAAAAGAAATGAATAAAAATAAAATGACCTTAAAGGCAAACTTGCCATCATAGATTTTCATCTGTCTAGTCATGACAGATAAACAATTTAGCAATCAGAATTCCTTTTCTTGATATTAATGCTATCTACATTTTCTTCTCTGAGATCCCTTCTTTATGCAGGACTTTTCTAAATCTAGCCCCATAACCTCTGACTGGACTATTTATAGAATCATAGAATATCCTGAGCTGGAAGGGACCCTTAAGGATCATCAAGTCCAACTCCTGGCACTGCACAGGTCTACTCAAAAGTTTAGACCACGTGACCAAGTGCACAGTCCAATCGCTTCTTAAATTCAGACAGGCTTGGTGCAGTGACCACTTCCCTGGGGAGCCTGTTCCAGCGTGCAACCACCCTCCTTTCGGTGAAGAACCTCTTCCTGACATCCGGCCTAAACCTTCCCTGCCTCAGCTTAACACCATTCCCATGGGTCCTATCACTGGTGATTACAGAGAATAGGTCAGCACCTGCCTCTGCACTCCCCCTCGCGAGGAAGTTGTACACTGCAATGAGGTCCCTCCTTAGCCTCCCCTTCCCCAGGCTGAACAGGCCCAGTGCCCTCAGCTGCTCCTCATACGGCTTCCCCTCTAGGCCCTTCACCATCTTCGTCGCCCGCCTCTGGACACTCTCCAACAGTTTCATGTCCTTTTTATACTGTGGTGCCCAGAACTGCACACAGTACTCGAAGTGAGGCCGCACCAGCGCAGAGTAGAGCGGGACAATCACCTCCCTCAATCGACCAGCAATGCTGTGCTTGATGCACCCCAGGACACGGTTGGCCCTCCTGGCTGCCAGGGCACACTGCTGGCTCATATTCAACTTGCTGTCGACCACCACGCCCGGATCCCTCTCTGCAGGGCTGCTCTACGGCATCTCATCACCCAGTCGGTACGTACAGCCAGGGTTGCCCCGTCCCAGGTGCAGGACCCGGCACTTGCTCTTCTTAAACTTCATGCGGTTGGTGATCGCCCAGCTCTCCAATCTACCCAGATCTCTCCGCAAGGACTTTCCACCCTCATCTGAGTCTACAACTCCTCCAAGTTTGGTGCCATCAGCAAATGTGCTCAAAACACCTTCTAGTCCTACATCTAAATCGTTTATAAAAACATTGAAGAGGACCGGCCCTAAAATGGAGCCTTGAGGGACCCCACTAGTGACCATGCGCCAGCCTGATGTGGCCCCATTTACCACAAGCCCTTGAGCCCTGCCTGCCAGCCAATTGCTCACCCATCGCATGATGTTTTTGTTAGGTTGTATGCTGGACATTTTGTCCAGTAGGATCCCACGGGAAACCATGTCGAAAGCTTTGCTCAAGTCCAAAAAGATCACGTCAGCCGGTTTCCCTTGATCAACCAGATGGCTGATCTTATCATAAAAGGAATTCAGATTTGTTAGGCAGGACCTACCCCTCATGAACCCATGTGGGCTGGGACCAATGACTGCATTGTCCCCCAGGTGCGCTTCAATACCTTCAAGGATCATCTTCTCCAGAATTTTACCAGGCGCTGATGTGAGACTAACAGGCCTGTAGTTGCCACGGTCTATTTTCTTGCCCTTCTTGAAAATTGGTACGACATTTGCCAGCTTCCAGTCTACTGGGACCTCTCCAGATTCATAAGGTCATTGAAAAATAATTGAGAGAGGTCCCGCGATGGCGTCAGCCAGCTCCTTAAGCACCCTGGGATGAATCCCATCCGGACCCACGGACTTGTATAGATCCAGGTGGAGCAGCAAATCCCGCACACGTTCAGGGTCGGTTGGGAGTTTATCGTGCCCACCGTCGTGGTCCTCCAGCTCAGGGCACCCAGGGTGTATTTACTTCGACTGCGTAGAAGCTATCGCGCATAAATGCCAGGATCCGGATCCTCACTCACTATTCAGGTCAAGGACTGGGCTGGCAAGTTTTGGCTTTAATTTGGTTACCTGCCTACGTTGCTGTTTCCTGGCAGGTCATGGGAAGAAGATTGGCTGGCTTGCGGCAGCTTACATACACGTGGCTTTTAGGCCGCAGTCAAAGCGTTCCTCTAGATCTGGAAGTTTGAAGCTGGTTGGAAAAGCCATCTGAGTGGTTAGAAAGCTGCCTGGCAGAGAAGGACCTGGGAGTACTGGTGGCTAGTCGACTCAGTATGAGCCAGCAGTGTGCTCAGGTGGCCAAGAAGGCCAACAGCATCCTGACTCCTACAAGAAATGGCATGGCCAGCAGGACTAAGGAAGGTGATTGTCCCCCTGTACTTGGCTCTGGTGAGGCCGCAGCCCAAGTACTATGTTCAGTTCTGGGCCTCTCACTACAAGAAGAATATTGAGGGGCTCCAGTGAGTCCAGGGAAGGGCAACAACGCTGGTGAGGGATCTGGAGAACAAGTCTTAGGAGGAGCGGCTGAGGGAGCTGGGATTGTTCGGCCTGGAGAAAAGGAGGCTCAGGGGCGGCCTTATCGCTCTCTACGGTAAGATACCTGCTTTTGGTTTCAGTGAGAATTCAGGCCCAAGCAACTGAAGTTTCTTCTGGATAGCTTTTCTTCTAAATAAGATAACTTCACTTCCCTTTCATCTGCAATGATTTCTAAGTGCCTTACACCATTCACGCTTGAGACAGAAAAAAGGGATTCCCATGTTACGTAAGTGGAGCACAACCCCTCTCAAAATAGGAGAGCCTGAGGTACGCTACCGAACACTAAAACTGTTAAGAGTAGGAGGCAACGGACTCAAAAGCCAAAGGAGGCTGACCCTCTCCGGCTGTTCATGTAACAGAAAAGAAACTCAGATTTGGGCCCAGGAGCTGTGATTTTAGGGAACGGGGCCACTCCCCAACATGAAACAACTCTAGAACCCAGGAACACTTAGCTGCCAGCTCCTGAACTCGCGGCACTTCCAAGCAACTTCACAAGCCGTACCACCAGGCTCTACTGCACGGAGAAGGCACCACCAATGTAACTAGTCATAGAGTCTCTAGAGCTATTTCACAGCAAAAGTAGAAAACAAAAAGAAAAAGCAGCCTGCTGGGGTTCAATTATCAATAATAAGTTCCATTGCTCCTTATTGATAAAAGAAATCACCTGACACAGAGTTTTGTAGTTAGAATAAATTTCATGAATTAACTACAAGAGGTGCGTAAGGGTCATATTTCTGCTACTCATTCCGTGAGGAAAACTAGTTTAGAACCCGTTAATATAAGAGAAATAAAAATATATAAATACATGAAAGAAGAAAGGGAATGAAATTACCGGCTAAATTGCTCTCACATTTTCATCTGTCTAGTAACAGCAAAAAAAAACAAAAAAAAATAAAAAAAAAAAAAAATAAATTAAAAGGATTTTCTTGAAATAAATGGCGCGACTCTGCGCCCCAGCGACTCTGCGCCCCAGCGACTCTGCGCCCCAGCGACTCTGCTCACAGGAAACTGTCAGTTACAGTCTTCTAGATATACATGTATAACCTATTACAGAAACTCATTTTTGGAGTCACATACCAAATATTGTAGATAGTTTAGATTCTAATGTATGGCAGGATTATTCTCACACATTCTTCTCTATTGTGTCAGCTGTCAACTCAGTAGAACTCAAAGTAACAAAACCAAAATCTTGAGAGCTTGTTTTTGTCTCATGAAGAGAGATACTTAAGAACTTTACTGAAAGGGTTGTTAGACACTGGAACAGGCTGCCCAGGGAAGTGGTGGAGTCACCATCCCTGGAGGTCTTTAAAAGACGTTTAGATGTAGAGCTTAGGGATATGGTTTAGTGGGGACTGTTAGCGTTAGGTCAGAGGTTGGACTCGATGATCTTGAGGTCTCTTCCAACCTAGAAATTCTGTGATTCTGTGATTCATGTACACAAACATTTTCAAATCTGAGTTATACTTACTCCAAGTGTGCCATCTGAAAATAATTTTCTATAGCACATAACGTTTTTTTCTATTTATTTTGTCAGACAATGTACCCCTTGCAACTCCCTTTCTTGTACTGGTACAGTCTTACACAGTCATGGTCAAATTCTCCCAAGCAAGAAAAGAATTAAAAGAGAAGAACTGATTTCCTGACTTTCCATACCTTTGTTCTTCCACTAATGGAAAGGACAGCTCTCTTTACACACTTTTGAAGTCTCCTCCTTACATTAAATTACCATGTAACTACTCTTTAACTATGCTTAAAAAACCAGCTTATCCATTTCCAATACACTATTCCCCATTATTTCAGAAATAAAGTTGTTAAAAAGTGACAAGATCAGACAAAGCAGAACTCCAAAGTAACAAGTGAATGCAAGACAATGATGTGAGAAACTGATCAAAGTTATTTAGACAAAAGGCAAATTTATGAACCAAAATGGAAAAGAAGCAACAATTTCCAAGTGTGTGACCAAGTTTAATGATACATCTGTTCTCTGAAACACTTGACCATCAATAACATTTCGTGGGTTATGACGCCCAGAATGTTACTTCATAGGTGTTTTATATGAATATTTACAAAGACTTTCAAAATTCAGTGGCACTAAACAAATAAACAGGAACTTAGAACTTTAAGCTACAATGCTTAAAAAATGTAAACAATTTATTTTACATAGTTGTAAAATATAAGAATTTTCTAATGCAGCTTAATTTTATCTGGAAGGTGAATATATCCTGGTGCCCATGAACAAGGAATGAGAGAATTCTTTACACAAGTATTGTGCTCCAGTGTGCAAAAAAATTATATATAAGAATCTAAAGTCCACAACAATTAAAAGACAACAAAAATTTTCACGTCCTGAAGTTCAGAAATTTATAAAAACATTTACACATGGTTGCTGGCCCACTGATAACTTGCATAACTTAAAATTCTGAACAAGAACTACTACAAATTCAAGATCTTTCTCAAATGGATTTTTGTGCAAAGATCAGACAATCATTCAGCATCTTTTCAGCCATCCCTCCCCTCCATCCGTCTCCACT